TTCTTTGAATATGACATCTCTTCCCTTGTCTTGAACCACCAACTTCATGTTTTCTTATGAACGCCATATTGGGTGGGTAGAATTTTTATTCTGATTCCAAAAATATATAGTACCTAAAGAAACTAATATTTTCATAGTTACTCTTGGCAGCGACAGCTTATCTTATGTTTATTTGATCACCAAGGACATTCAGATTATTTTCCAATTTAACAGCTACAAGAAGCGTCATTTTAGCACGAAAATTGAAGGAATCCTGGGCTGATGATATTTTGAAACATTACTGATTACTGATATCTAATAATATCAAGGCCTTCTAAAAAAATCTGTGTTTTCTAAGTAATTATAGTCTTACAATCGCATCTTTTAATACTAAGGTATGTTCGCATCCACTCAAAACTAAATAGTACTTAGCTTAGTAATCCGTGTATATCCGTATATAATTGTTTTTATTTTCAATATGACGTTTCACCTCTTATGCTCACTCATCTATATTTTTTCTTTTGGGCGCCATATTAGACACCGGTGAATAGAGCTTTTAATACTGATTTCAAAAAATGTAATATGTGATAGATTAACTCTTGCCGAACCTAAGTCATTTCTCATAGTTGGCTTTGAAAATCTGTTCTCACTTGTTCATCCAGTATATCGTTGTTTGAAAAGCGTGCTTAAAGCATATTTAGATTACCTGCCGAATTGATGATTGAGGACAAGACACGGAACATCATATTGAATTTCTAATTATCCAGATGAGAAAAAGTAGCAATATTAATGTTGTTCTGATATTGGAATCCCATGACAAATAAAGTAAGGAAGAAATAAAAACTGTTTTGGGGAATTTTGACGTCTTTCGTCTATCCGTCTCCGGAAATATTCGGAATTGCAAAACCTGCTAGGTGCCATTTTCTCAGTTACTTTAATGCTCAACTTTGTCTCCTTACACCGACTTCATATCTCTTACCGTTTCTAAGATCCCTTTGGCAATTGTGTTTAAAACTCCCGGTATCTTTATATAAACTTTTTTTCATAAAAGTATCTGAGGTATCAATATTAGCACGTCAATTAGGAACACCCTGCATAGTACTTTTTAAATCTTCAGACCGCAGATTAACTGCGCAATAACTGAATCGAATAATTTTCTCGTTCCAACAACTCATCAATGCGTATAAATCCTAAACGTTATAATTTGGATCATTCCAAACAGATATCGATATTGATTACCTTCTATAACTGAATGTATATTGAAATTGCATTTGAATGAACAAACAGTTCTGTGGACGGAACAATCTTTTATTTTCATCTTCACTAAAAGTTCGCTGCATCAGAACAACGTAATGATATTATCTTTTATGACCCTTTCTCTGTTTTACTATGTAGGCCTACAATTTTGGAGACAGTAAATTTTTTTCGTTATCTCGTTAGATCATTCGAATTGACTGGGGCATTAGTCACGATTTTGAAAACGAACTCGACCGAATATCTCGAAAGCTATCGATCCTATGTAAAACATAATTTTAAAGACAAATAAATCCCATCAATTTGCTCCCATTGGAATTTGTCAAATAGTCAACATGTTACTAAAAAGTTGAGGGTAACGGTTCATGTGATGATATTTTCGCTTATAATGGCTAACAATTTAAATGTAACTTAAATCAATCGATTTAGAAATAACTTTTTCAAAAAAACTTTATTGAGGGCTGCACTTCGGTCAAAATTACAATGAGCTTACAAGTTACTATTACGGAGCCTAATCGGATATTGAACACACTTCAAATGCCGGGGTGGCTGTTGAAACAATTATAAATGCTGACTAAGAATCAGCGGAAAATAGACAATAACAATGGACAAGCAATAGACAATAGAGAAATAGAGACACTGGGTAAGCAACATTGTATGCTAACTTAATAACCGCTTAGTTACTAAGGCCATATAACATGGATAAAGACTATTATCCTTTTTATAGAGTATTCAATTTTCTTGATCATAAAAATACAAATCACTCACTTCCATTAGTCTGACTCTTCGCCAGTTTGTCACTGCGCAGCCTCAGCGAGCGTTGAAGAGATTTTAATAGGAAGGGAGTGAGGCCCTAAACCAGCATTTTCTACTACATCTGCTCTTTCATCAAAATCACTGCAACGATTACTGAAATTACTATGTGACAAAATTACCAATAGACTGACAGCTAGGAGTGAGTGACTTGATCTTCACAATGGAAATACCACAAACTGTTAGGAACAAATACATTTTCCTTACTTGCACGTAGTCGTTAGGAATTTGATTCACATTAAAATAGTGAACTTAATCATAGATAATGATGAAGTTATTTCCACGTTAAGTAATACCGTGCGAAGTATGCCGCGTTTCTGTTTTGATACAATCTTTCAACTATCCCTCCTTATACTATACGAGAACTATCAAGGTGTCGAAGAAACGTGATAGTTTGTATTTTATATTTATATTGTTTTTATTATTTTGTAGCAAATTTTATTCTCTACTGAAAACAGTGTTTAGAGTTTAGCCATTATGAGAGGAAATACCCTTTAATTTCTCGTAATCTGTTGACCATACGACAATTTTTCATAGAAGCAAAATGAAAAATTAATTCACTATAAAATTGTCTCTACTACTTTTTCACGTACGATCGATGGTTGTCAAGATTTCGTTTATCAAAATCTATTTACGTTTAAGATCACGAGCAATAATCTGACTAAACCACCAAAAAATATACCCAAATTGTAGGGTTTCCTTATACAAAGTATCCCTATTTCTTAGCGTAATCCTTTTAGAGCAATTATAGATTACGTGCAGTGGAGGATTTTCACATTGTGGCAAAAATAAGTAATTTAGTTTTAATGGAAAAGATTTTGTCGTGCACTCAACGGTATTAAATAACTGCGGATAGGTCATTGATATGCGATGTGCGAACCTCCAGTTCTACACAACATCCGCAGGTGGATTGAAATAATGTTAAGTACTCTCGGAATACGACCAATAATCTTTGAAACGGAATGACCAACTGAACAGCAAAATTGTATCTTAGAACCTGAATTATAGTCAAATCATTGAATTGTAGACCGCCGTACCAAAATTATTCAATTGTACCAGAGAGGAATAGAGTAGCATAACATATCGTACGCCAGTGCTAGCGCGCGGATTCTGTAAATGGTGTCCCATGATTAACCCAGGTTTTGAATTAAATGGAAAACACAGTTTTAAGACTGTAGATTGTTATTTTTTGTTGGACCATAAAGTACTTATGTATGGAATATCACCAAATGACCTTGCTGGGACATACGCACTCTTTTGTACGAAATTTTGCATGACCTTTCTGCGTAATGGTGGCTGGGTTTGTTAACATAGACCTTTGACTTTAAATAACCTCATAAGAAGAAATCTAATGGTGTTAAGTCACACGATCTAAGGGGCAATTCTGATCACCGAATCGGGAAAGTACACAACCAGGAAATATATAAATCCCGAAACTGGGGATACAACAGACCAATGTGTGAATTGAACCACACATACCTCAATCCAAAAGTTGATAGTTTGCGAAATACAGGGTGTCAAACTAACAATTTTATTTTCTATTTTTCCTTATTGCTTGCTGTGTTTCAGATTTTGGCATGAAACTCGGTATAGGGAGGTTTTCTAGTATAGTAACGAGAATCCGTTATTTTTTCTGGCCAAACTTCTAGAGGGCGCAACTGACAGCGTTACTTCTGTAAATAACTTATCATAACTTTTTTACCCTGTATACAACAGCTAACTAAAATATCTTATGTTCTCGTATTTGCACAACAAAGAAGGTTCACTTGTTGGAAGTGTCTAAAACTTTTGGACTAAGGTATGTTTAGGTCTATTCACATATTTTAGTCTATAGTATCTCCAGTTTTGAGATTTTCCAACCTTTCGTACTTCAAGGACACGACCCGTTAACAGTGGCGCACCGTATGTTTAACTACTCTCTTCTGTTTCGGTAGCAGACTATACCTGGGCTTATGAAAGGTTTGTTTTCTTAGGAAGCCAGTGGAACACATATTTTTATGTTGCCTGGAGTGTAATCAATCCCAGAATGGCTGACTTTCGTTCGAAGTGGAAGGGTTCTGATTCAGAATCGGAACCATGAATCACCGTCAAGCAGAACTGCCAAATAAAAGCCCAGCCTTACAGAAGTTATCTTGCTAACTCGGGCTTCTTTTCTTAGAAAGAGACCGCTCAAATACATTGTATCTTTCCGAAATATTTACTTTTGTTTGAATATCAAGAACTGTTGAAGGTTTTTGTATCCTCCACTCACAGTGTATGTAGAAACAAAAGTTTGTAGTGCCTTCAACAATTTACAATATTTGAATAATGTATTATTCATCATTTTTAGGTGTACTTGATGATTGCGACCTAATATTTCTGAAATCCTACTGAACCGAGTCGAATTTCCAAAGGAAGCCCCTTAGACCTGAATACTTGAAACCCAGAGCTATGCAGAAATATTTGTAATTAGATCTAGCCAAAAGTGTGGCGCTATATGAACGCTACAGAAATAATGATAATGTCAGTAATCTTTCTTATTTCTTTTATACTTTTTTTTTTGCTACTTATCTACACAAACCAATCTTGAAAAAGCCAATAATCATTAGCGGAAGCTTGAGAAATATTCCTGGCGAAGAACTTTATGAACTTTAACAGCATCACCAAAGTTTTAGTTTCAACTAGTCTGCCAAGAGAGACTTCCACCCTTTGTCTTGATTTGTATATAGATATTATTGCAATTGAAAGATAGAATGCTTCAATCCAAGTTTCTGATCATTACTTCCCACAAGTGTTCTGACATCTCACAAAACTAAAAACGTGGATTCAAGTTTTCTTATACTCTATGAATTGCAATAATATCAAGATATCCTGGAATTAAATATAGTTAAAAACAAAAATGTACACAATGGAAGAGTTTTATGTAAGAGCATCCTTTTTCAGAAACGACATCGACTCAACATCTACTGACTGACCTCTGACCGCAGTGATCCACGGTGACGTACCGCTAGATGGCGCCATCGATCCTGGTTCGTCGTCGTGCAGTGTCCGGCCAATCCGCGGCCCGAACCACATCCCGTTCTGGCCATTGGCGTCACTGCGTTTGCCTTCCGGGTCGTCGAAGGCTGCCCCGATTGCTCCGCCACTGGTCGCCTGTTCCGGAGACCGCCCTATCCGGGGGAACGTCACCAATGTTTTTAGTCTTTTCTCTTCTGGGGGCAGGACAAAATGTACGGGGTTGAACTAGAGATTCATCGGGACGGAAAAAAACGGGAAAAAATGGGGTTTCGTCAGGGTTAGGTATGCAAAATGTGAGTACCTGATTTTGTCAATAGATATTAGCTAGGAATATACCAAAACAATAGTATAGAATTCGTGAGTTTAATAGCTGTCCATTATTTACCCCCACACCCACACCTCCTCAGCTCACACTGTATACATCAGGTCATAAATGGGTTGCAAAGGAACGTTTTTTGGAAGGGTTTCAGCCACCGACGATAAGAGATACGAAATGGGTGCAAAGTTGCGTATTTAGGTAACTGGCAAGATGCCGCTGAAGTTCAAAGTACTTCCACACAGATATTTGCTGTGTGAGAAAATCATTACTGAATATGCTGGCAATGAAGTATATCTATTGGCTGTGCCCGACGGGTTATTTTTATGTTGTGCTTTCTGGAGAGAGGTTATGTTCAAAGTTATAAGTTACGAAAAACTGAGGAGAATTACGGGAAATGATCACCGCGCCCGCGTTGTGTGTAATTACTGTTAGAATGTATATGGCTTGTAATTCGACAGTGTACAGTGAATATAATTATTTCTTAACTCTCTCATTCTTGAAATCCAGCAAATTTATATATGTAATTTCCAGAATGGATAAGAAAAAGTGGATGCGCAACTAATTTCTAGCTTTTAATCTCAATTAAGTGTATTTAAGACAAGAACCCAATGTAATTATCATCAACACATACAACTTACAGCTTAGACCTCCAGTAATGCCATCTCAGAAGCAGATTTTACATCACATCAGAGCCAAAGATTGATAACAAGAATCATGACGTTTAGGCAACACGTACAACTAAGTGCTAAGTTAATATCTTGTAGAAAAAACTACATAATGTAAAAAAAACCAGCATAATGTCAAAAAAAAAATCGGCATAATGTCAGTTTTCAAGATACGTGATACCCGTGACAGGGAGAGACGCAAAAAAACGAATATTCTCAAAATTGTTTTAATGACTCCTGGCTTTATTTGTATTGTGATTGTGAAATGAATCGCACATTTAATGTTTCTCCTCTACAAGGTATTATAATCAGAATTTCAATATGACGTTTCGTCTCTTATCCTCCAGCAACAAATTTATCGTTTCTTATAGACGCCATATTCGATTTTTGCACAGATGGACATGCTTACATGGATATTGCCAAACCTTACTATTTTAAAAAAATTGGATTTCCTGTGTGGGCTTTGAAATTATAAGAGTCATTTGCTTGGTATACCGGATTTATTGAAAAATTGTTGGTTTTATTTGAAATGGGATTTTACAATAAACTGCATGAGAGTATTGCGACTCTATCTCTCGAATGCAAAAGAGCGTAGAAAAATTGTCGATCAGACATTTTTGCTGTCGACCACCATCCATCCTCAACTTTGTTTTTTCTTATGGACTCACTATTGAAGTTTTGCGAAATCGAGCTCAATATTTTATCCTGCATTTAGTTATGAGTATAATATTTATGAAAATATGATTCATAAATTTAGTTGAAGTAATATTATTTTTAGTAGGTAGTATTTAAATGTGCACGATTCCAATGTAGCGTCCAAAGTTGATGATGTAAGTCGAAAGAAGAAACCGGCAACTGAAACTTTGAGCAGGCCTATAGGCAAAAAAGTGACAATGACAATATTCGATTTATCTTGAAATCGCGTCTCAAATAAAGTCAGGAAAAAAATAAAATAATTTTGTAACAAATCTGGTATATATACGATATGGCGTCCATGAGAAAAAATAAAAGCTGGTGGACATTAGACGAAACGTCATATTGAAATTCTGATGTGATCTTACAGAGGAAAAAAGTGGCAATGTTATTGTACAATTAATTTTTGAAATTTTAACTATTTTAGAAAAATTCAGTTATTTCTGTCTCTCTACGAGAGCACTTTGAATTTTGAAACTTTCTAAGAAGCATTTTTTTAAAACCAATTTTAAGGGTCGAATTTGGAAATAGACGTATAGTGATAATATTACTTTTGCTTATTTTCAAACACTGCTTGGTGGCCAGGAGCAGAGGCGACTGGCGGGGAAAACAAAATGGCTAGGGCGGTGGAAAGACTGAGATTTCAACCAGAGGCGTCGCATAATAAAAATAATAGGCTACGGTCATATTTTAAATATCATAGATATTTACGACCTGCGACAACAAATGTTTGTTCTGTTTTCCACCTGTGGATGATGGCAACAGCGTAAAATACTAGAACAACAACGACATCAAAATGTCTGAAATGAAATTTTTTATCTCTATTTATCGTCTGTGACCTTTTTTTTGTCCTTGCCGGCGTTGGGGACTTACGGGGGGCGGTGAAGAGCCTAGAGGAAATGAGGAAATTGCAATTAATTGATTTTTTTGGGGGTTCAATAGTTAGAGAAATATATCATTCAACTAGCGCACCTAACACATGCAACTTACTGGTAGCTAATAGGACCAAAATACCAGCAAAATAGTTTCCTAGACACCCGCAGTGAACAAATCGTATTTTAACGATATTTTGTGGAAACAACTTTTTACAGTATCATCTTTTAAATCTTTTTGATTACTAAAAAAATAATACCTTGTGTCCAAATATTGGGCAAACAAGCTCTGCTTTATCATCATTCTCAATTAATGACCACTGCTAAAACGAGGTCCTCAATATTTTGCATACGCACTTCCTCTGTCGCCCGCTTTCAGAAAAAAATGTTTTTTCCGCCTTTCTCTAGAGGTTCAGGATAGTTGGGGAATCAAAACACTCCCAAGAAACATCTTAGGTTTATACGCAAACGTCATATGTAGGAATGATTTTTTATTGACGTTTCTGCCACCTCGGTGGCCTTTTTCTAAGTAGAAATCCGAAATGACAATGATCGTTTTGGCAATTTAAAGCGTTCCAACGATACAACATTTAGAGTCAGATTGATAGACCTTCGTTGAGGCGTGAGGCTTCCTGGGAAACAGCGAACACCAGATATTTCCTTGGAATCATGACGCTTCCTTGAGGAACGTTCGAGAGAGGATTTAGATTTTCATTTCACAGTAGGCTGTACGTAGCAGTTGTCATCATAAGTTGTCATCGATGTCAGAAATATTTTTATTTGTTGGCCGCATCTATTTTGTATGTTGGTGATAAAATTTGGACCATTTGGTTTATTTGTGGCAAAAATCAATAAAAATGCAAGGTAATAATGTTTGCTTCCTCGAATTACAGCGCAATCCCGAGAAGTAACAAACTGAATGTAGACAACCAACTGCTCTACCGCTTTCAGGCTGTCGATTACGTCTGTCAGATTCAACGACTACAGTATTTCACAAAAAAAGATATTTTAATACCCAAATCTTATATTGAAAAGAGGAGAAGGTTTAATGGAGATAGACTAAGTTGAAAGGAACATTGAAAATAAAAGCAGATAGCAGCTCTTGCCTATATTCAGTTGTTTACTCTCCTGTAGTTGTCCTGTTATTCAATGGAGCAAACAGATCATTATTTTGCATTGTTTGTTGATATTTAGCACAAATAGACCAAATCGTCCCAGTTTTATCATCAAAATGACCTAGGAAGAGTCATTGTTTCACGGTTTCCAATGAGATATCCGATATTCATTGACTACAGGGAAGCTTCACGCCTTATGAAAGGTCTATAAAAGCGCTACTTCTATCCCAAATGCGAATGGGTAGCTTATGCGATTTTGGACTTTGCAGAGCTTCCGCGCTGTTAATTTAACATGTATCCATGCGATTTCGGCATTGTGCGTGGCCATTTAGACTGCTGTTGCAACATAGTGTGTAGTATCGACAAAAAAAGAATGATTGTACTTTGAAAAATGCCACCCAGATGGCCAAGTGGCGACAAGTAGGTTAAATCTGCACACAGCGCTGTTATCGCTATATATTCGACACGTCAGCCTCTCTGAGAAGAAAGCTACGATCATCTACAACAAGAAATTAAATGACTTTTCTCCGACCCCTGAGAGGCGCACATGATTGTGGCGATGGTCAATCCCGCGTGATGACGATATTGGCCTTCACATGTATAACAAAAAATGAGTCAGTCAAACCAGCGCATACAGTAATTGAAATTAGCATATTTAGCATTTTTTTGAGTACAACTTGGGACATTTTAAGATCCCCGGGGAAAATCCGCTACCCTCGCTCTTCAAGAAGTTTTGGAGGCAGGATACTCTCACACAAAGTTACCTCTTGTCGATGAACGAGGCTCGCCTGCCCCCGGATAAGAATTACAAAAATATATTTTTTGAAACCTGAGTGTCAATTGCATGATGATTTCACTGGACTATGAACAGAACTCGATGTGGCAACCCAGAACACTCTTCCTAATATAGATAGCGCATAGACTATTCTAATACCTTGTCCCATACAAAATATACAAAATCCGATAAAACTTGTCCAGTTCTCAACAATGCGCGGCAGAGGCGGCATTTTCATAAAGTAGACAGACATAAGTGCTGCATTGAAGGAAAACTGCATCTGGAGAAAAATCCTCCCTCTAAGCAGACCGCTTTTTCAGCAAACATCTTCCCAAAGGAGTTGAAGAGCTCATTGCTGATAACCACCGACGCACGTATGCCGTTTACGGTTGTTAGAAGTTTACCGAAAGTTCGATTTTGTTTGCTATGAAACAAAAAAGGATTTACGATCCTCTACATTGGCGCCAAGAGGTTGTATAGAGACATGTATATAAGATGGACAACATACCTTGTCATCTCCTTTCTTAGAAACCAGTGGATATTAAAAAAAATGTTAAACACAGAAGTCTCATCGTCTTATTTTGTTTTATTTTTGCATATACATGTCCAGTTTTTTTAAAGTGAGCATCAATTTCATTTTTCCAAATACCTTCCTATATTACATAGTACGCCACTGGACAAGGAAGCATTGCAGTTGCGAAATATTTTGAAAATGAGATATGTTTTTGGATGTCGCAGGACATGTGCATCATGAA